TGTGTGTGTGTGTGTGTGTGTGTGTGTGTGTGTGTGTGTGTGTGTGTTAAACTTGGTAAAATATTCCAGATCACTTGCAACACACCAATGGCTTAGACTAAGATTAGAGGGAGAAGACAGTCACATGCAAACCACACAGGAAATGCCCAGGCTTCCTACATGTTAGCTGGGGAGTCAGCTGCCTGGGACTGAAACTCTTGGACCACAGGGTCATGGAATGATGGAGCCCTTCCATTTACCCTCATGATGGCTGAAACTCAAGAAGGAAGGTGAAACGACGGAAGTTGACCAGGGTACCAGTCATTCCCAAATCACTTGTCTCCAGGCCCAGGCTCTTCCATATAAATGCAGTTAAAATAGTTTTTTTGTAAAAACTTAGGACATACTCGGAAAATTTTCAAGACTCCTGATGTTTAGAAGTCTAACTGGAAGGTTCTGCACCCCTTCAGAACACTAACCATCACTGTCACGGTCATAATTACCACCGTCACTACCAGCAGGACTGGCACCGTTACCTCCTTCACCAGCATTATAACCGCCACCATCGTTACTGCCACCTCGTCACCAGCTCCGCACCGCCATCTGTGCAATCGCTGATTGAGTGCTCGTGTGGTCCACGCACTATTCTAAGTACAGTACACGCATTAACTCAAGATCTCAAAAATCCTGTGAGCGATGCAGTCTTATTATCCTAATTTACAGGTGAGGAAAGTGAAGCACAGAGAGGTTAAGACACTTCCCCAAGTCCACACAGCTAGTAAGAGATGGCTCCAGAGAAGAGTAACGGTGCCAAATAAAGTTGAGGATTATGAGATAGAAGGGAACGTGAAATATATGGGACAACTTCTCCTTCTGATTTCTAGTAGTCCAATTTCATTGTCAAATTTATCATGTTAGTAAATAAGATATATACCTTCTGAGTGCTTCCACTAATTACAGTCAAAAGTTTTAATTTCCCTATTAACAGCTTAGCAATCAACTAGCTAAAAGAAAAAGCACCTTTAGGCAACATTCCAGGCAATGTTATCTTCTATTAATTGTAAACCAATAAAAGATTCCCACAGGAATCCCAGTCATCTGGAAAGATATTTTATATATATATACATACATATATATATATATATATATATATATATATATAGACACCTTTGGGGACGGGGCAGGACCTCTGCTCTCGTTCCCCCATTCCTTATTCTTCTTGTTGGGACATGCTGGCACCGCAGAACAGGGCCCTGGCACGAGACACACCTGGAGAGGCTGAGAGGCTCTCCCGCCAGCACCATGATCTGCCCACGAGCGTATCATTGCTGCTGCCGTGGCCGTGGGTCCAGCACACCTGGAGGAACTGACTCAGATACAAACCTCTGTACTTGACTGACTGGAAAGTCCGGAGACATTTTCAATCTACAAATTTGCAAGATGGGAAGCACCCTGTTCTGCCTTTTCCTTTGCAGACCCAGAGCTTCCTGCACTCACCCGTAGGTGCAGCTGGGGTGGCACAGGTGACACACGTGATTGGCATCTGCAAACTTCCAGATCAGGGTGCTGTTTTCTCCTGTGACTCCAGCAGGGCAGGTCTTGACGCAGTGAGGGCCGTCGATGTTGTGGGCACACTTTACACAGCTGCCTGGTCCCTGCACCAAGGTGGAAAAACCGTTTCATAAATCAAACATTTACTTACGTCTCTCTCTTTTTCAGAATGAAGTAACTTTTTTTTTTTTTTTTTTGCGGTACACGGGCCTCTCACTGTTGTGGCCTCTCCCGTTGCGGAACATAGGCTCCGGACGCGCAGGCTCAGTGGCCATGGCTCACGGGCCTAGCCGCTCCGCGGCATGTGGGATCTTCCCAGACCGGGGCACAAACCCGCGTCCCCTGCATCGGCAGGCGGACTGTCAACCACTGTGCCACCAGGGAACCCCCCAGAATGAAGTAACTTTTTACTTAAAATGCTTATCATGAAAAAAAATCAAACGACGTGGAAGTTCTTAAAGTGGACAAGCTCTTCTGTGACTGTGCTTGCCTGATGTGACCACTGTTAACAGCTGAGAATAAAGTCTTCTTGACTTTAAATGTGTACTTTATATACATACATATATATATATATATATAAAACATGAGAGAAACTGTACTATGTGCTTTATTACATTTTACTCGATACACTGTGGGCATCTTTCCTTGTCAAAGCATTCTTGATTGGCCTACATGTATATTTATATCCTTATCAGTCAGATGGACTTCCTTGTGAATCGTGTTTGGAGTTGAGGGGGCCTCTGTGGGAAGCTGGACTCACCAAGGCCAAGCTGAGAAAAGCCACACCTACATCTCTCCAGTGTTGAGAAGGTGGCACATGGAAGTGCAGTGATGGCTGCATAATTAACTGAGCAACATGCTAAATTTGATTCTGTTGGTCCAATGTGAATGCGTCGGTAAAACCCACAGAAATGAATGCACTGGGGCTGTTTGGGTTGTGTCCGCACACTTCACAAAGGGCTGAAATAACGTGGGTAGGGGAGGGCCTGCCTGCTGGCTCAGTGCTCTCATGTCTCAAAGACTGAGTATTCCCAGAGCCAGAACAATCAGATGACTAAGTCAGTCAACATCACCAGTTATTTTATTTCACTGATGAAAACTTAACCGAACACCAACCTAAAAACCAGTGGTTTCCTTTGTAACCAGCCTGTACCTCAAAACTGAGCCTGTCTTTTGTCTGATTTAAAGAACTTCTGAGAAATGTTTTCCATTACTAGATTTAGATATGGCTGTTGAAATTCAAATCCAAACAGAGCTCCTCGTATAAATAAACTGAGAATTAACAACATGGGCACACAGGTGTGAGAGGGACCTGCATTCTCACACTCTCTAAAAGATTATTACTGAACATGTAGATGTGAAACTGAATTTTGAAAACCTTTCCTTTGTGATTAAAAAATACTCTTCAGGGCTTCCCTGGTGGCGCAGTGGTTGAGAGTCCGCCTGCCGATGCAGGGGACACGGGTTCACGCCCTGGTCCGGGAAGATCCCACATGCCGCGTAGCGGCTGGGCCCGTGAGCCATGGCCGCTGAGCCTGCGCATCCGGAGCCTGTGCTCCGCGACGGGAGGGGCCCCAACAGTGAGAGGCCCGCATACCGCAAAAAAAACAACAACAAAAAAAAACTCTTCAAATAACGATAAACTCATGTTAAATAAGAATTTGGTGATGTTTGATTAAGACAATAAAGCAATGAAGACAGATGTCAGGAACACTGAAGGCTGCCTGTGGGCGTGCCCCGTCCACAGGGCACCCTGATCTGTGGTGTGAGGACGGGCATCACCACGTGCATCTGGGGTTGGACAGAGAAGGGGAATGCCCGTGCCGGCAGGGTATGTGCTGACGTCCCCTCAGTCACAGCCCCCGACGGCTGTGAGATGTGGACGGGGAGTGCGCTGGATGCGCGTCCCGGCAGGCACGGGGTGACGGGGGCGAGGGTCATCCTTGCGGGCTATGGCTGACGTGTGGGGTGACATTAAACATGCTCCTTACGTGTCCCGTGCAGGTCACGTTCATGGCCTGGGGCAGGCATTCCGGATGGCACTGCACGCACTCGGAGTTTTCAACGAACTCCCTGGGCTCTCTGACGGGAGAAGACGGGAAACTGGTCAGTGCCGTCCCTGGACACCCTGCTGCAGGATGCTGTCTGGGTTCACCTGTCTGAGAGCTCAGATGACACAAATCACCTCTCTTAGAAAGTCAAAACAGTTTTAGGTAAAAGTCGAATGGCCGGGAATCTAGGACTATACTGTAATGTAATAAACTGATTCTTGTCAGCGGAGTCTTTGGTCATCTTCTCCTGGAACAAAGACATCAGCTTCCGTTATAATCAAAACATCTTCCCTACATTTTTTCTCCAGGCGCAGTTTTTCAATATTAGATAAGCAAGGCAACACATGGGAAAAAAAGAGAAGAAAACAGTCCTTAAGATATCAGTCCTTAAGATTTAAGATACCCCCTCCAATATCAGATTCATGGATATTTAAATTAAGCTGCAAAGAAATGGTATCTAGACTAATGCCTGGGAAAAGGAAAGACAGCTATTAAATGTTTCCTAATGGTTATTCCTAAAAACAGCAAGTAGGGAACACAGGCGTGAAAAATTTTGCTTGTACTATTTTAACCATTCCGCAAACTTAGATTAACGTTAAGTGACAAGCTGATGTTTGATTGAAAAGACACTGTAGTTGTGGCAGGTGTTAAGACGACTGGTAATTAACTAGGCAGTGAACAAGGAGTGTTTACACCCAAAGACGTGGTCCGTGAGTCCTCTCAGGCAGACGGCATCAATTAAACCAAATACGCCGTGGGACTTTTTCCCTGTGCTTCTTGTCTGGGTTACCACACCTGCTGCAGGAGCCAGCCTCGCAAGTGGAACAGGTGCTGCTGGGCACTGGGGTTCTCTAATGGGCAGACCCGGGCGCCACCGCCGTGGCTATTTTAATCACCTTGTCGCTTCAAAGAGACGTCAGCACTGAAGACATGAGAGCTTAGTGTCTGTTTGCAGCTGTAAGGACTGCACCAATATTTCTTACTTGTTGAAACAATACTATCAATTATGCAAATTACTGTTAGGCTAATGAGCCTATCAGCTAAAGATTCTTACAGAATTGAACTTGGTCTTCTCATCCTGCTTCCGAATATTTCTGATCTGAGCTGTAGCCCAAGCCCTGATAGTGAAACAGAAAGGAAGATTTCCTAGAGCCATCTGTAACTCCTACGCTCTTCTCTATCATGAAATTTCTCTTTTTCTTTAAATTAAACAAAAAAAATTGCCTCTGCCCGTCTCTATCCTTCCATTTTACTTTCCTATTAATTTATTTTAGTCATTATTTGTGGTCATTCAAAGCCTTACTCAATATCAAAATTCCTATAGAATCAACAGACTGTACTTTTTATTGATTGCAATAAATTCAACAAATGTTATACAACTGTTTATTTCTTTGTCCATGGGTATATTTGAAGTTATTTGCACTGTTCAGTGTGTCTTGAACATAAACAAAAATTAACCAGGAGCTGTGTTTTGACACAGCAGGAATGCTGTGCTACAGTGGCCATGGTCTTGGCCATCTGAACCATGGAAGACTGTTCTGTTTGTCTTGGGAACATTGTGCCGCTAGGAAAAATATAAGATATTTCCAGATAGAGAGAGCCTCTATAAATTGGATTGGATTAAGTCATGAAAAAAGTCTGTTCACTTCCCTTTGTGATTAACAGTTGTCAACAAACAAAAACAAAGGAAAAGGAAAATAATCCGACTGATTAACCATAAACCTATAAAACAATCTTAAGTCTTATTTTTTTAAAATCAAAACATAGGGATTAAAAAACAAAGCCTCTTACCCCTTTAGAACGTTGCACTTCTCCACACACTCCCTGCCACGGCTGAAGTTTCGGCAGGACATGCAGTCTTCGGGTTTCGGGCCCCAGCAGCCCTCTGACGAACACAGCGGGTTACAGACGTGGCCCATGGCCTCTGCGAAGACAGGGTGAGCCACACGGGTCAGCCGAGGAACAGTGGCCAAGGGCCCTGTGGGTGAGGTGCTCAAACACATGCTGCGCCCCCTGGGAGAAGCAGTGATGCAAGCACAAAAGGGCTTCCGGAGGCCCACCGCAAGTCCCCTTTGCCCTGCTGGGGGCTGAGTGTACCTGGATGAAACACTCAGAGCTGCCAGAACAGCACGGGAAGCGTGAGGCTCCTTGCCGTGTGCAAGGCACACAGAATCTCACCAATTCTCTCAACTGCACTACGGTGTGGGAATCATTATTACCTCCATTTAATGGATGAAGAAGCCAAAGCCCAAAGATTTACGTAAACTGATGCAGGTCTCAAAGCCAGGAAGGGCTCGAGCCAGGATGTGAACTCAGGTCTGCTTCTGCCGCTGGCCGGGGTCTCACAGCACAGGCTATGCCGGTGCAGGCCCCGCTTCAAAAGCTGACATGGCTCAAAACTCAGAACTGGAAATGCCCGTGTGAAACAGTCATCCCATTCCGGTGTGTGTGTGTGAGTGTGTGTGTGTGTGTGCACGTGCACGTGTGTGTCTAGCTACAGTCACTGGGGATGAAATGAGCAGGGAGGAACACACAGCTAAAATGCAATATAACTGGGAGAAGAGGGGTGGGTCGGGATGGTGGGATGAACTGCCATGTATACACTAATATGTATAAAATAGATAACTAATAAGAACCTGCTGTATAATAAATAAAATTAAATTTAAAAAATGCAATATCATTAATACTAAATGTAGTTCTGTAAATTCCCAATAATTGATAGCCTAGACTTCAAGGCAAGTTCATCCTATGAAATGAGAATGATCTAGAAACAATTCTGATGAACTCCACAATTAAGAATATACAGATTTCTTTTAATTTGCTTCTTTACGAATGTAAAAAGTAATTTTAAGGTTTGGGGATGGTTCTTCAATATTCTAAATCAAAACAAATGACCCGCTGGAACCATCTCCACAATGGACCAAAGTGGTGACTCACTGCACTCTTTTTCACTCCTGTTGTTTGTAATTTTGGTTTTCTGACTTGAGGTCCCAAAGAGTTTTTTCCAGTTTATTGTATCTGCGTAGCACAACTTTCGGTTTCCTGAAATGATCACATCTCCATCACTTATCTCCTTGAGGGAGCGTAATCCCAAGGACGTTACATCCAGGCCAACAACCGCCAGAGAAAACTGACCACTAAGTTGGAGAGAAGAAAAACAATGTCGTGAAAAATTATGAAAACACAGCATCGCTAAAAACTTTGCTTTTCTGTACCACTTTAGATTTACCACAAACTGCCTTCCACGGGTTGTTAAGTCACGTTGTGGAAGGTATGTACTGCAACTTTGGAAAACTGCAGGTGCTTTTTAAAGCTAGATCAGGGAAGAGCTAGTTCCTTGTTCGTTTAGTATCTCTAATCCCAGTGGCAGACCAGGGGCTGAATAAAGGTCTTAATGTCATTATTTGATTGGCTGCATTTTAATTTTGCCTGGGAATTGAGAACATGTTCTAAGTTCTCAAATATCCAAATACACTTAAGAGATCACAGGTTCATTTTTCCATCCATCCATCTACCCATCCGTCCATCTATCCATCCACCCATCTATCCATCCACCCATCTATCCACCCACCCATCCATTTATTGAACAAACGTTTGAGGTAACATGTGATTCATTCTAATTCTACGTTAAGTGTGTGTTTCCTATTCTCAAAACACCTTTTGTCTAGTGATGACACAATCATATGAGTAGATAATTTTAACCCAGCAGGGGTACCACGGAGGCAAAGAGTAGGGGTCTAAACAAGTCTGCGGAGGGGGTCTCCCGGAAGGGGTGAGGCCTGATTGTCAGGACCCCGGGAGCAGGGACTATGATATTTTCTTTGCTACCCAACCCTGTGCTAGGATCCTACGGGGTGATCAGTACGTGTTCATCAAGTGACCAGGTGGAAGTTATTCCGACTGAATGGAAGGAAGTCCTGAACCACCTGCAGGAGAACGTGACAGGCACTAAGAACCATGAACTACTGCTCGAGGTGGGCGGGGCCTGGGAGGGGGGCCTGGGAGGGGGAAGAGGCCAGAGCATGGACCACCTTAGACACCACACGGAGGAGGTTTTTGTCCGCAAATGATGGGAAACCATAGGAAGGAGATTTGCACTTTTAGGAAGCTCACTGGACACCAGGACGTGGAATGGGCCAGTTGAGACAGTACAGTAGAGAGAGTGATAATGAAGGCGTGAGATGACAGAAGGCAAAGCATAATTTGAGGACCCCTTCTTCTCCTTGTTACTTTTTCTCTCCCCACCCTTTCCTCCCTCTGTCCTCCCACAGCCTGGCTCCTGTGTATTAGACCTGCGCCCCTGCTGTTAGGAATCCCCCCAGACTGTGCCCAGGGGAGGCAAGCCAGCAGAGACAAAGCTGAGGTCTTCCCTGCCGGGCAGGTTTGGCTTTGCTGAGAACCAGGGGTCACACTGCCCCAGGAGGGACGGTCCATCCTTGGACTTCTCAGCAAATGTGAAAAGGAAAAAAAGTCATCTTTATCTTATTTATATCCCTAAAACTAAGCGGAGAGGTATATGCTAGTCACCCAAGAAAACGAACCTAAATCTCTCATCTCTGTATGAACTTGGGGCAAAAGAAGTATTCCTGAGAACTCAGAGCACAGGGGCCTTTCTGGGAAGTGATATGAGCTGCCAGTTTAGCATCAGCGATGCAAAGCCGCGACGGTTTTTGGAAAGTGATGCTTATTTCACATGCACTGTCGTCTGCCTTTCTTTAATATTGCACAATATTACGTAGCCCTCTGAGGAGTCAATTATGGGAAAGAGTGCTCGGAACCAGACGGTTTCCAAGGCAGGTTTGAACAAGAGAGTCCCAAACTTCCCCTCACCACAAAACTCTTCATTACCCTTATTACATTAAAGGTGCTTGTGTGTGTGCGTGTGCGTGTGCGTGTGGGTGTGTTTCACTCTTGGAGCTGGAAAAGTGGAAATCCTGAAAGATACACTCCATGTTAAACAGCCTCTCAGGTCCCCTGAAATGACTTGCTGAAAAGGATGTGTGACCTCAGTGCTGTTCTTGCCAAAAGTGCAAAACCTCAGCTGAATCAGGAGAAAACACTGGCTATCCTACAAGATGCCTGACCAATACTTTTCAAAAGGGTCAAGGCCATGAAAGACAAGGAAGACAAAGGAACTGTCACCGACGGCAGGGACCAAGGAGACGTGACAGCCGCGTGCAGTGTGGGCTGACAGAACACACAAGGCGTTCATGGAAAAACTGGCGCGATCCCAGAAAGTCTGCAGTTCAGTTACTACCGATTTCTTTACTTGACTCTCGTGCCACGCTGATGCAGGGTGTCACCATCGGGGCAGCCGGGTGAAGGATGTGTGGGAACTCTCTGTAGTGTCTCTGCAGCACCTCCGTAAGTCTTATTTCAAAAACAAAAAATAAGGGTCTACCGGGCTTTGGCTGGGGTCAACTTACTGTTGCTTCGTCCTGCCACGTATGATTTCCAGGTTCTCAAAAGCATGGAGGCCAGTCCTGTTTGCAGGCCAGGCCTGAATCAGCAAAAACCCTATAAGGCAGAAGGAAGGTTCAGGCACACACCACTTAGAAATGTCTATTCTGTGTGAGACATTATTGTAGGATTTTCAGGAGTGTCGACGAGCAGGAGAGGTGAACGTTCTTCTCGTCATCTTCCCGAGCACACGCACGCATGCGTCGCTGCGCACCAGCCGCCGCCCGACTCTCACCCCGCAGGCTGTGCTCCAAGGGCGAGACCCCAAGCAGGCTGCCGCGCTCAATGACAGCGGCCAGTGCCGAGCTGGAGCGCCGCAAGGAGGCTGAGCTGACATGGTATCCTTATTTAGTTCCAGTTCTCCAAACAACCTTGCTATTTAGTCTGATTATTTCTTTTTTAGGGATGTCGGAAGTGGAGTTCTGACGGGTCCCGGGCCCAGGCCTGCCGGTGGCAGAGCAGGATGTGAAGTGCGTCTCCAGGCCCGGGAGCCTGCTGTCCGCTCGCCGCTGCCCCCCTCCCTCTACCCACCACGTCCTGGGCTGGTCCTCGGACGGCTGGCCTGGGCTGGGCGGTGAGAGAGCAGACATGTTCACACCACGTCATGAATGACCTAACTCTTTGCTTAAAGAGCTCACCTCTCGAGTGCAGAGGAAACTGCATTTTTGAAAAATATCGAAGAACTGATTACTCATGAATGGTAGAATTTCAGAATAAATGTTTTTATGCTAAAGGAGAAGAAAATACTGCTAAACGTTCTCTTCATAAAACACTGATTTCCTGTTTATGTTCATATGATATGTTAGCGGCACACACCTGTTATTTCCTTTACAGTTTTTAGAATGTCCAGTTCCTTTGGGTCCAGAGGTGGAGTACGTGTGAAGGAATCACTGAAACAAGGAACAGGACGATCAGTAACAACCTGCAGGTGAACAAAGCTGATTTCGTTTTTTTCTATATTATATCAGTAACTTAAAAATCTTTACTTACCCCTTAAATGCTACTGGCAGGATATGAAGGTCTCCACTGATCGAGGTGCAATTTCTGAAGTGTTTAATATTTGTAGCATTTATGGAAAGTGTATCTTTAAACTCACCAATTCCTATTCCGTTACAAACTGTAAAGGTAAGGGAGGTGTTTATTTCACTCGCATTTGTTGAATTAAGAATAGCTAGTGTTCCACAGGCAGAGGGGAGCAGGCAGGAAACTGCCGTGGGAACTATTGCCGCCAGGCTGTCATTCATTCACTCAACAAACACTGCTAGGCCTGCTAGGGCCCAGGGACCATGGCGGGGTTGGGGCTGCAGTGGTTACAGGAGACGCCATGGCTGTCCTCAAGGAACCTGCTTTCTCCTCCTCATTTTCCCCACTTGGGCCAGAGTACAGTTGCTCCTGAGGACTCCAGCTTCCTCTCCATGACAGTGTGCCCTGCGCCGTCAGTGCTGTCCTGTGCTCACCCGCGTGCCCCTACTGACCCTCAACGCCTCCCCTCGCCTAACTGGGCCTGCGGCTTGGTCTTCTAACTGAAAGAAACAATATGCATAGATATTTTTGTTTTTAATGGAAAGAGCAAGATGCATTCATCTGAGAAAACCTTGAAAACACAGAATAAAGGGGAACAAAATGACAAGCAATTCTCCTATGTACCTTTGATATTTTAGAAAATTTCCTTCTAGCTCTCCTCCATGGTTATGTCACACTAGATATGGAGCTGTTTTTTTTTTTCCCACTTATTATGCTGTGAACATTTGTCCTGTCATTAAAACCATTCACAAACATGGTTTTTAATGGCCGTCTGATGTTACATCATAAGAAATACTGGAATAACTCTTATCAGATAAACTGCTTTTCTTCCACAGCGTTTACTTAAGCCATGTGCTTTGATCTGTGTCCTATTGTGACGTCAGTCTCAGACGCCTTTTTCCACACTCTGAGCCCATTTATGAATTTACATTCACTCCCGAATTTCCATCTCAGATGCCAGTTCCCTCCAAAGCCCACTTATCTGTTGTGGCTCTGCTTCTAGAATTCACAGTGCAATCTTTGGTACCTCTCTTTCAGATTGTATCTTACTTTGAAGAATAATCATGGAAAATCTCATTGTTTTTCAATGAGGTTTTGAAAGAGGAGGATGAAAGGATGAGGGTGAGGTCCTCCCCTGGCCTCACCCAGGCCTCCCGGGGGACAAGGTCCCCCGGTCCCTCCGTCTCCCTCTGCTCCACTCTGTCCAGAGTCCCTGCTGCTTGGGTTGCCACCTGGCAGTGGGGCCTGCCCCATCAGCCCCCCTGGACCTCCAGGCTCGCCTTGCACTGCATCTGCCTCGCTGTGGGTTTGGGAATGGGAGGGCGAGGCTGTTTTAGGATTCCAAGGCTCTGGCTGACAACAGAGTGAGGCTGGCTTCCGCACAACAAGCCCTGAGGCAGATGCCTGCCAACGGGGACTTGCCATTTAATTACAGGTTCAGAAGAGATTTCCACATGTTTGAAAGAATATCTATTCTCTCTCTGTTTAGGTGTGATGGTGATTGGTGGGGTTACCTGAATTCCTAAATTTGGAGATAAATTACACATTCACCCCTAGACCGATCAGATTTGGAGAAGTTGTAGACCATCAACACACGCATTTTCTAAACTTTGTTTTCCTGGCATCGCCCTACACCCGAAGGGATCTGAGTTGGCCACTACTCCAGGATATGAACTGGGGGTGGGTAGAAAATAGAGCATAATGATTACAGGAGCATCGAAGTGGTTGTTGAACACAAAACTAACAGAAGAAAGACAAAAATCATCTCTGATTTTATTGATCCATTTGAGGATGCTGACGGTATAACCCTCTCTCTCTTCAGGGGCTTAACTCTTCTACTTCCTCTGTGCCAGGCACTGCCCCAGGTTCTTATTTTCTTCCTTCCATGTCCCCTCTGCTGGGAGGTCTCCTGGAGCCAAAGGACACTCATCTCTCAGGGCCCCGACACCCCTGCGACACAGGAGCTACACGGCCAGGTGGCCAGAGAGACCCGTTGGGAGCTCGTGGGTCTGTAAAGTGGGGATGGTAATGGCACAGACCCCCTAGGGGGGCTGGAGGGACTCGATGACGTGCAGCACGGAGGCTGAGTTTGCCCCGTGAAGAACACACGTGCAATGCAAGAGCACAGAGGTGGTAATCAGTTTCAGCTGAAATCACAGATGCTTCTTAGGGAAGGTAGCCTCTGAAGCAGATGTTCAAGATAAGCAGTTATTCATTGAGGCATTTTTTTTTAACAGCAAAACAGCGGAAACAATCTAAATGACCATATACAGGGAGACTGGCTGGATAAATTATGGTAGAGGGGATAGGATACAGGGGATTATGGATAGGGTTCGGGGAGTGCCCAGCAGCTGCAAAGTAGGATGAGGAAGATTCATATGAAGTTATCTGGAGTGATCTCCAGGGTATGCTAAGTTTAAGTGGCAAGGTACAAAGAGTGTAGATGCGGAACTGGAAGACGTGGTCTAGGCCTGCCACGTGCCCAAAGGACTCAGGTGCCAACTGGGGAGGCTCCCACAGGCCACATGGGAGACAGTCTGGACGTCAAAGTGAATGATGACAGGAGGGATTACCATAAACTGAATAAAAAAAGGATTCAATGACCTCACGTGGGTACTAAAAAAGCTATTTTAGAAAAGAATGTCAACTAATAAATGTAGAAGACATGATAGAAAGAGGAAATCACTCCTTTATAACCACCAAGAAATCTGACTGACGCTACTTCAAGCAAATCATCGAATTCGTCATCGTGGTAACGGGATGAAATGGCTGTGCCCCCTGGTGGGACGCAATGAGGGGAAATGCTCCTGCCCACCTGAGTCCCGCCTGGAGGAAAACCATGCCCAGGGCAGACGAGGGACATCCTGCAAAACACCCGGCCTCAACTCTGCACAGCATTGGGGAAAAGGGGGCTGAGAAATGGTTCTGATTTAAGGAAGAACATGGAACCCACAGCCCTCAGCTGGACTCTGGATTGAAAAGCAGCTAAAAAGGATGTATTGGGACAGTGGGGGAGTTGAAATTAAACTGAAAACTAGAATTGCACTGAATCGATGTTAAACTCGAGATGAGAGTGAAGCCGTCTTTTGTTACTTAGGGGAATGTCCCATGTGTAGGAAAGTGTGCTGGCGAACGTAGGGTGAAGTGTTATAACACCTGTAATTGTCACTGGGCTCAGAAAACACACACACATACACACACACACACACACACACACACACACACAGACACAGAGGGAGAGCAACGTGGCGATTACTGAAAATTGGTAAAGTTAAGTGCAGGGCATATGGGTGTTCATTACACTATTCTTGCAACGTTTCTGGGTGTTGTTTGAAAAATTTCTCGATAAAACATAAAGTACAGGATAAGCAGGGATACATTGGCATTGAGGACACCCAGAAACAGGGCAGAGCGTAAAGGAAGGGACACGTTTCCGAGCCGGGAGATCCCCTCCCATCTCGTCTGAGCGTGACGCCGAAGGTCTGGGGGCAGGGAGCAGAGACAGCCCCTCGCCCGCACTGGGCGGCTTCCCACCTTTGCCACAAGGTCCGTCGCACTTTTTACACTTGCGGACGCCGTCCTCCTCCACCTCCTGGCTGTCAGAGCTGCAGGCGCGGACGCACGAGCCGTGGTCCGTCACCACGTAGTTACCTGGGGGACAGTGAAAGGAAGGTGGCGAAGGCGGCACCAGGTGTTCCTGGGCCTCAGGACCCTCCATGACGGGCTGATCCTCTGGTTTTGGTTACTTTAAGGACAAAGAATGAAAGGCTGCAAACAGAGAGGGATGCGGGGTTCACGGGTTCTCAGGGCCTCCCCGCCAGGCGCAGTGCCGGGCTGCTCGGGGTGCTGCCTGCTCGCTGGTCACCGTGTCCCCCCCTCCCTGCAGCCTGTGTTCCCGTAGGGTCTCCCTTCAGGACGTGTGCTTGAAGCTTGACTATTGATTTAAAAATGGGAAGCTACACAAAGACCACGCTTCTGCTGGGGCTGCCACACCCGGGGCTGCCCTCATCCCCTCCGGCCACCGTGGGTGGCGGTGCCCACGCTCAACACCAGCCCCGACGCCGGTCACTGTCTCGTGGCTGCCGTGTTTGTGTTAACAACCTATTAACACAAATATCAGTCTATACTTTTCAGGAACTCTATGTGTTCCTTGCAACTTTCCCAAGTGGATCCTCAAACCTATTGGCTGGGCATCTGTCATTTTCCTTCTGAAAACTGTCTACTTTTGTTCTCTGAGGCTCTGAGTGGTTTCCTGTGGACTTTGAACTCTGCCCGTTAAGCTGTCTCTCAAAGAGTATATGTCTGTGTCATGACTGTGGCGAATTTTTCTTAGCTTGTCTTTTACCTTATAGTGGTTTATTATTCTAGTTGTGTGTTCTTTTTTCTGTTCCAAATTGATAAAATTTCATGTTCACAGATCTGGTAGGGCAAACCTCCCCCTCACAATTGTTCTTAAACATTTTTTTCTTTTTCCTTCATCTTCCCTCTTGGAAATCAAGATTGGTTTCTAAAACAATTTAATGAGACAATTCTACACTTCCTCTACCACGAAATAATTCATGTTGCCATTTCCCTAAATACCAGAGTCATCTGTAAAGCACAAATTGAACTAAGCAAAACCCAAGCCCAAATGATTAAACAAAGCCAACTGACAAGCAAAAACCCCTCTGCAGTATTCCTAAGGGCACAACCTTCACCAGATGTTTAACCACTAAAAAAGGCAGGTCTTCTAACTACTCTCTAACTTAGGCCGTTTAAATACCTGCAAAGAGCTAAACGGGAAAATGGCCCAGTGGTCATGGGTCTGTGCCAATCAGACGATGGGATATTCTGGGCGACCACGGCTGGGGCTCAGGACACAAGAACTGACTCGAGGTTGGAGCAGCAGCCGTCCCCTCACCTGCCTGACGCTGAGGCGGACACAGGGACCCAAGGACACGTGAGCGGGGGACGCGGGGATGCCAGCAGGAGACAGAACAGGTAACGGGGTGCCTGACAACGAAAGGGTCCCCACGAGGGGCACTCACGGGGACACTTCCTGACACAGGTGGCGCCGAAGCTGTACTTCCCCAGCGGGTTGACTTTCATCTCGTAGGTGGTGGGGTCGTACAGCATGAGTGGCGGGCATGTGTCCTTGCATGTGGCTCCGTCCCGGAACCTGCGGCAGACCTGTCAGGGGAGGGGCGGCGGCTGTTAGACTCCGTGCGGGGAGCTGCGGCCGCGGTTCTCTGCGTCCAGGTGTTTGGTCAGAGCACACACGTCTAGCAAAGCACTCTCTGTAGAGTCAGAAAGACCTTTCTCTTAAAAGCATGGTTTTTCTTAAATCCACTGTCCCAGCTGTCAGAGTTTACGGATTATGATGAGGGAAAAATACGTCTCCGTTAACTTTCAAAACAAGGCAGGAGTACACACACGAGAGTAGTTAACTCTACAGTGAAATTATTCTTCGGCCTAACTTACGTCAGGTTTCCCTCCTAAACAACACTTGAGGATACATTTTAGAATTTATTGCCAAACGCAGAGAACCTGGACTAGGGGGTGTGGTGCAGAGGGGACCAGACCACGCACAGAGGGGCCCTGACCAACAGCCTCGGGCCGTCTCCTTCCAGCCGCACATCAGGACCGGCCCAGACCAGCCGAGTCCAAAGCCTGGGGGGCCTGTCCAGCCTCTGGAACTTTAGCCTCCCTGTTCCTGAAAACCAGACTCTTTGGGATCCCGTCCAAGGTGAGTCTCCCAGTCTGGAGCTCGCTCAGCTCTGACTCTGGGACCCCGTCTGTCCGCCCTGGTGTCTCGGGACTCGCAAGGCGCCCATGATCAGATGTGTGGCCCCCGCGGCCCACGGGGACACTTGAGCTTTCTGCAGTAACAGGGACAACAGCGAGGGCGTGGGGACCCCACGGGGGGCGAGGAGGTGGGGGGTGGGCGTGGAGGGATATGTGCAGGAGGTCTCTGAGCCGAGGTGGAAAGAGCAGAGGCTTTAGGGGCGAAAGGCACAAATGGAGTCGCAGCTGTCCTGCCACTCGGGGTCTGTGTGGCCCCTTAACTTCTCCGTACGCATCTTAGGGGTCCCTGCGGCATCAGCGCCCTAGGTTTGTAATGAGAATCGAGTGGAGCAGTAAACAGTGAGACGAGGCGGGTGCTGGCCACAAGAGACATTAGGGGCCCATAACACACAGTTCGTAGTTTGGCTCATTCTATGCCCAGGTCCTGGGTATGGAGGCCACACACACTGTGCCGTTTAGAGCACTTCACGGGCAGGTACTTTACTCTCCACCACTGTCAGACAAGGAAACTGAGGCACGGAGAGGTCACATAAGTTGCCCAAGGTCACCAAGTAAGGGGTGAAGGAAGGCAGGACACTAAAAGATGCTTTGTCACCCCTGCGGCTACAGACGTCAGTCAGTACAGTTCGGTCACAGGAAGGCTCTCTGAATCTCGGGCCAGAGAAGCCGCTGGGGTGGGTATTACCAGGCAGTCACTCTCCCGCGGCCCCGTGCAGCCGGCGGCACACTGGCTGTGGCAGCAGTCGCTGGGGGACCTGCCGCGGCAGCGCCCGGAACACTGCTGGGCACAGATGACTTTGGTCACTGGAAAGAAGCAGAGGCCATCCGTGAGCTGAAGGGTTCGGGAGGGAGGAAGGATGCCTTCCCCGGCACCTCGCAGAGCACTTGCAAACAGCGGATGAAAGATGGATCAATTTGGTGATTCTGCGGCTTAAGTTCCCCAACATTCACATTCTGCTAAATTCAACGGAGTCTTGATCTTTCTTACTGTACTTTTTTTTTTTTTTTCCTACTTGTTTCTCATCACTTAGGAGAACTGACTCAGACCAACTCTGGACTTTCAGACTGCTAAATTAGATACCGATGAGAATTGAGTTTGGGGGTGGGTAACAGAAAGCATGTACAGATAGCATGACGCCTGCCAGAAAGTAGTGTTTAAAAGGACGTAACAGTCACATCACAATTAGACTTAAAGTTTTCAAGATGACACGTCCCCAGATTCCTTGGCCGTTCACGCTCCCGAACTAGGATTCCCGCAGAAAAACCCCCTTGAAGAAGAAGCTACTCTTGCTTCTCTGGAGGTGGGTACTCAAGAGAGGGGGGCGGCAGGAGAGGCGAGGACGTAAGAGATGCCATGACTCAGGTAACACAGACAAGCCCCCATTCCCAGGAAAACCTGCCAAACATACTGTTCAGAGAGAATGGCTGGTACACGGGTGGCCCACTTGCACTGACTTACGACAGGGCCTTAAAATCAACAGTGCTTTCGGAGTCTTCAAAGGGAAAACAAATGCAAGTGTAAGGGGAGAAGATGGCCAGCGAAACTCTGCTCCCCGACTCACGTTTCTGGCAGTTCTCCTTCCCTGCACCCCAGCAGCTTCCATTAAGACAGACTGGATCACACTTTGGGCCTAAAACATAAACGTAATTGTTAAATTCATATATTTAGGGAAAGGGAACAAGAAACTGATGGCCCCTTCTCAAGCCCCTAGGCAAAGCCACATCCTAGAAACAAGGAAGTGCTTTCAAATTTCTTATTCTGTTTGTTCAACTGGTTGGTTTGTAAGATGATTTAAAAAAGACTCTCATGAGAAAAACAAAAGAACCAGGTACTGCTTTTATTTACATTTCAGTTGTGGAAACTGAGGAGGAGAGCGATTATTGACTTGTCACAGGCCATGAAAACTGGGATTTAAATGGACTCATGGGTCCACATTTCAAATCTGCTTAGGCTTGGAGAATCTTCCAGCATCTCCCACAATGATGTTAAGGATGCCTCATCTGGGGGGATGGGTATGTACCAACCACATTCGTGCCGTGTCCAATCCTCAGGGATCCCATGAGTTGGGGTCCTGTAAATAAATACTCCCAGACTCCACGCCAAAGAGGGAGAGGCCTGGATGCCACACAAAGGGTAGGACGTGCACGGTCTGTGTCACCTGGTTGATTATCTAAAACTTCAGCTATTAATTTGCAAGTTACTGTCTGAAAATATCTGTAATCGATCAATCCATTCGTGCAGTTTTTGTAAATGATTGACTACAAATGACAGCTCCTAAGGGTTTTAATCTCATTAGTTGTGTTCTGTTTTCATCGGCATTAAGAAAGCTGAGGACCGAGTGTTCTATATACAGACAGAGAGAAGAGCTGACCACCAAATTTGTTAGAAAGAGATCAGCCATGCAGGTCACTTCCATCGCAAAGACACAGTAACCAAGGGACTTAACATGTGTCCCAAAGTCTCCCACAGTCAGGAAGAATTCAGTCTCTGGGAGAATTTCGGTTTCAAACAGAAGAGCTGACGATTTGCCAAGTGATTGTTGGACCAGGGCACCCCTTCAATAAGACCGACAAGGTTTACAATTGCTCCCAGGGGTGAAAGGCATCAGTGCAATGCTGGTACTTCTCAGAATCCTGAAGGATGGGAGGACGAGCCCCAAATGGATGGTGCGGGTTGTACATTGTGAAGAGAGACAGATGGAGACAGAAAGAGAGAAAGAAACTTAAGAGGAAAGAGCCAGAGTAACACATAGATATGTTCAAAGTGGTTGTGTCTGTACAATGATATCACGTTATCTTTCGTTTTTACCTGATACTTTCCCATATTTTCCAAATTTCTATTATAAGCATATAATATGTTTATAAAAGAAAATATTTAAAATAAAAACGTTTAATGGCATCTTTCTGTAACACAGGAAAACATCTGCCAATCAAGGGATTCAAAGTCTGCTTATGATTCTATTCTTAACCTTTTGTGACAAAAAAAGAATTAGACAGTATTTAAAATACAGATAATAGAAAAAAGCAAGAAGAAGAAATGAGACTATCCAGAGGTAATCAATATAGGCATATAAGTATATTTACATATAAGAATTAATATCACACTACACACTGTATTATAACTTAAAAAAAAAACTGATAAAACGTTATGACAATTTTTCCATGCCTTTAAAATGTCCTTCTGGGACTCCCCTGGTGGCGCAGAGGTTAAGAATACGCCTGCCAATGCAGGGTATGTGGGTTCGATCCCTGGTCTGGGAAGATCCCACATGCCACAGAGCAACTAAGCCCGTGCGCCACAACTACTGAGCCTGTGCACTACAGACTGACAGCCACAACTACTGAAGCCCGTGCACCACAACTACCGAAGCCCGCGCGCCTAGAGCCCGTGCTCCGCAACAAGAGAAGCCACCGCGATGAGAAGCCCGCGCACCGCAACGAAGAGTAGCCCCTGCTTGCTGCAACTAGAGAAGGCCCGTGCGCAGCAACGAAGACCCAAAGCAGCCAAAAATAGATAAATAAATTTAAAAAAAAAGAGAAAAACCTGAAAAAAAAGTAAATATCTTTCTACCTAACATGAATTTTTAATGGCATGGCTGAACCACAATTTATTTAACCAATCTCTTCTTTTTAAATACATAAGTTGCTCTCAAAATTTATTATAAACAAGGCCCACGTACCGAAAAAAAAAAAAAAGGTTAAGATGGGGACTCCCCTGGTGGCACAGAGGTAAAGAACCTGCCTTCCAATGCAGAGGACGTGGGTTCTACTCCTGGTCAGAGAGCTAGATCCTACATGCATGCCGCAACTAAGAGTTCACATGACACAACTAAGGAGCCTGTGAGCCGCAACTAAGGAGCACACGTGTCACAACTGAAGGAGCCAGTGAGCCGCAACTAAGGAGCCCACCTGCCACGACTAAGACCAGCACAACCAAGATAAATAAATAAAATAAAGAATATTAAAGAAAAAAAGTTCACCACAAAAATACACAAAAGGAAAAAAGGTCCTTATTTTTAAAAAATGATGATTACGATGGTAAATTTTATGTTAAGGGTATTTTATCATAATCAATCAATCAAATCAAAGAAAAAACAAAGCAGCTCCGGTTGATTTTTTTTTTTTTTTTTTTTTGCGGTACGTGGGCCTCTCACTGTCGTGGCCTCTCCCGTTGCGGAGCACAGGCTCCGGACGCGCAGGTTCAGCGGCCATGGCTCACGGGCCCAGCCGCTCCGCGGCATGTGGGATCTTCTCGGACCGGGGCAGGAACCCGCGTCCCCTGCATCAGCAGGCGGACTCTCAACCACTGCGCCACCAGGGAAGCCCTCCAGTTGATTTTTAAGATCCGTATCATCTCCAAATTCTGAGACCAAAAAAACCCCCCAAACCCCCCCAAAAGCAAAAACAAACACCCACGCATCCACTGCATAGTTGTAGAGAAACAGAAACAGGAAACGACGATGGCTTCTTATTTTCAAGACCGAAAGGTCAGCGAGATCAGGAAGGCAGCCGGCTAAGCGGAGCTTAGAGTCCTCGGAGTTTCCCACTGCCAGCAGCGCTAATGGGGCAGCCCTGACCTGCAGCCTGGCCCTGGCCAGCCTCTCCCTTGCATGGGCTGCTTTACTGATGAATGGCAGGGACTAGGTAACGGGCACTAGTTAAATATGGACAAACTCTCGCCGTATGCTCCCCAATTTTGCTGCGGGCTCCATGTGGGAGTGCCCAGGCCCGGCAGCAGGAGGACAGAGCTCAGCCCCAAAGCTTCCAGAGGGCCTGGCGCTACTTTGAGTCTCAGCAGCAAATAAGAAGCTCACAAAAGCCTAGGCAGTCTCCTCACACAAGATGTGAGAAGCCCCCTCGCCAGGGGTGACAGGCCGGGCTCTTCTCAATGCCCCATGAGGGCTTAGCTGTCCTGGGGTGGGGGTGGGGGCGGGTGATCTGCCAGCAGGGGAAGTGTCACCATGAAAAACAGGTTTTCTTCCCCTCTGTCTTCTAGTGAGCATATAATCTGTTTACTATCAATATTTACTTTTGTATTAGATTAATGTAACGTAATGTTAACTCTGCTTTCCTGATCCGCACCCCAGCTCCACAGCTCTGCCCACCTTAAGAGCTGCAGGCTGGGGGCAGGGGTCATGTGGAACACTTACATCTGCTCAGCTGGCTCTGAAATTCAATTGACATATTGCTTAGAAAGTCGGCGTTGACGATGTCCCTCCACTGGACGGTGTCCATGTTGCAGAGGACAGGGTTGTTGCTGAATCGCACGGCGCCTTGCAGGATCTCTGCGTGAGAAAGGAACCACCATGAACACACGCGCCATCTCTCCTAAATTCTCCTGAAGTATGCATGCGTCTCTTCACGTTTTGCCTTCTGCTAAAAGATGGCAACCTGCAAACGAGACTCCCCTTGGAACTCCACCGGGGGCAGTGGAAAATAACCTGATGGACTCCTCTGTGAAAGAGTCAGGGTTCCCCTGCCCTGGGTCTTTGAACCGTGAATGATCAGAATTTCGAAATATGGGGAGGAAAGAAGATAATGCTTTAGTCACTTAGCATAAACGACAAGTGTACAGTGAGTCGGTGGTTGCCGGGGAGGTTGGTCTGGGCTGGACCGGAATGACTGTGTGATGACGATGTGAAACGGCAGAACTGGAATGACCGTGTGATGACGATGTGAAAGGGCAGATGCAACAGGAAGGGCGGGTGGAAGGGAGGATGCTGTGAGGGGCTTTGGCAGTATTTCATTGGAGAAAAGGGGGTGGGAGTGAGGTGCAGCAGAAGGGTGTGTACGTGTGAGGAAGAGACGGGACGGGCGCCGGGAACGCCAAGATGTAAACCTGTTCAACTGTTCAAAGGAAGAGCTGGGAGGACATGAAAAATCAGGGGTGATACGAAAAGTCAAGCCTGAGCAGAGGACAAGTGTTTTATCCATGACATTTGCGTAAACATTTCCTGAATGACTTGTATACACAGAGCACAGCACCAAGAGCTGCGGGGTCAGCGGAGATGAGTGATTTCTGTTGGTCCCTTTCTAAAAAGCGACATGCGTGGGAGACACAGTTAATGACCTCACGTCCACAGCGGACCACGACTCACAACAGGGGCCAGCTGGGCTATACTCATGACCTGAGCTAATCCTCACACGGTTCTCTGGCTGTAACTCAAATCTAGATACATAGGTAATGCCCAGCATCCCACAGCGGTAAAAGGATGTGGCAGAGGAAGGGTTCTCCCTGGGAAGCTCTCTGAGGCTGATGGAAAGAATGACATTTCCTGAAGGCTGACGGCGGCAGCACGTGGAGGAACCTGAGGGAGGGCGGGTGCTGCGGGCTCCAGTGGACACACAACCGCAGCACAGGCCCCGAGGGCTCAGGGGGTAGGTTCCTTCGGCAGACAGGGGTGGGGTGTGGGGGGTGGGGTGGTGGGGGGATGGGAGTAGGGTGGGGTGGTGGGGGTGGGGCAGGGGCTACAGAGGCAGGCTGGGGGGTCGGAAAGGGAGCTTTGGATGCGAAGTCAGAGACGGCAGCAGGACAACCAAGTGAAAACGTTCACCAGGAGGGAGCCAGAGTCAAGGGATAAACTGATGAGAGGTCAGCACTGGAGACGCAGAAGAGAGACGTCAGGGCAGCGGGACCCTCGGGACGACAGATCAGGGGCCGGGAGAGCGCCAGCGGGGAGGCCGAGGGCCCGACAGAAGCCGCGGGCAGCGTGGCGAGGAGCAGAGGCCCGCGTTAGTTATCAATAACAGTGTGTAATTCTCGTCCAGTAACCCACATTAGAGGATTATTTAATAACATGAAATAATCGGGATTGATACTACCCCGATACCCACAACGGAAATAATACCAGGCGAAGAAACGTCTGCCCAGCGCTTTATCTGGAGTAATTCACTTAGTCTTCTCAGCCACCCTCGGAAGTCTGTCACCATCGTTAATCCCCATTTTTTTTTTTTTTTTTTTCTATACGCGGGCCTCTCACTGTTGTGGCGTCTCCCATTGCGGAGCACAGGCTCCGGATGCGCAGGCTCAGCGGCCATGGCTCACGGGCCCAGCCGCTCCGCGGCATGTGGGGTCTTCCCGGACCGGGGCACGAACCCGCGTCCCCTGCATCGGCAGGCGGACTCTCAACCACTGCGCCACCAGGGAAGCCCCATCCCCATTTTTGAAGACACAGAGAATACGCTCCCGGGTGCCTGGCTGGTGAGCAATGGAGCCGGGGCTGGAACCCGCCAGTCCGCTCCCACCCGCCTCTGCCTGTCGCCACGAGACAGCGACAGCGTGAGGCAAGATGGGCATCCAGGCAGGCGGAGCACAACCGAGCACGGACAGCACAACCCAGCGCCAGAGCTGCGCCCAGCAGGCGAGGGTGTGGGAAGCCCTAAGGCCGCCTCCTGAATGCAGAGCCCAGGAGGCAACCTGGACAGCAGACGTCAGGCTCTGTGGGGCTTGGACACTCAGCCATCCCAGCACCGCGGCCTGGGACCAGGCCCCTCCCTGCCCAGCACCCTCACTCTGTCGTGCATCCTCTGCTCTCATCCCCCATTTGGGGTCGGCCCCCCAGCTCGTCAGAGCTGCGTGGAAGATGCGAAGGCAAGGGCTCTGGGGGCACAGACTGGGTGGCCATCCCCGGCCGTCCTTTCGCTCATGTGGGACTTCAGGAGGGTTACTTTGCCACCATTTCTTTATCTGGAAAGTGGCAGAGCTACCACTTGCTTTCAAGGAAGGCTGTGGGCATGAAGTGAAGTTACCAATTTAACACAGCTGGCACTGCACCTGCTGCGTGGTGAGGGCACGATCACTGTTACCCTCAATTTTTTAAAAAAATCAACTTGACGTCTTTTCTTCATCTTCTGTAGTTTCCTCTCACAGAACTCACACAAGTGCCCTACTCACGAGAATTCAAACTTCTCCTATAATACCTTTACTCCCTATCCTTAACTTAAAAATGGCTTTCTGGATATCAGCACTAATTTGGAAAACGTCTCAAATAAGGGTTGATTTTTTTAATGTATGTCCCTTATACCTGAGGTCCAGGTAGTGAGACTGGCAGACTACCTAAGCATTCCAGCTCCGGTCACCTGGTCATACTCTTTTTTCCAGAACCTTTACCACTTTTTACGAACTCTCTGGATACTTTTCCACGAACCAGGGAGAACTGGTACTTGGCTTAAATCTTCCCTTCCCACCCCACCATCTACTATCTTCTTAGTGACTTCCACCTGCTGTATCTTGCACATGGCTGGCACGCAAATACATCTGTGTCTGATGAATAAATGTCTTCTCTGAATGGAATTCAGAAAAGCACCAAGTCTGCTGAGTACCATCCGAGGTCACTCTCTGCATTTATAGCTTCCCCATTCCCTGGCCTCTCACCCTGTAAGTTTCTCATGGGCAACTCCCTCAGTCCCGTTTTATTTGCACCGTAGTTGGATAAGACCGCTAAGGCATGGGTGTTTTCATAGAGCACATTTCCTCTGATGATCTGCAGCTTTTCCAAAGGAATCGTCTCCACTGTGTTGAGGGCAATGAGTACATAGCCAGCAACCTCCTGGATGGTCTAAGGAGATAAAACATAAACATATTATTTCTCTTTTGAGGAACTCACAAATGCAAGATCTGAAACGGGTCCAGAGAGCCCAGGACACCGAGCTGAACAGGAGTGTTTGACAGATGCAAAGCATGCAGGTGATCACCACTGGATCCCATGGGAGGTGAGAGAATTTACAATGATTCCTGCGTTTTTTTGGTTTGTTTTTGTTTTTTTTTTTACTATACGCAGGCCTCTCACTGTTGTGGCCTCTCCCGTTGCGGAGCACAGGCTCCGGACGCGCAGGCTCAGCGGCCATGGCTCACGGGCCCAGCCGCTCTGCAGCATGTGGGATCTTCCCGGACTGGGGCACGAACCCGTGTCCCCTGCATCGGCAGGCGGACTCTCAACCACTGCGCCACCAGGGAAGCCCTGATTCCTGCATTTTTGCCTCTTGAGCTTGATAACAATAACAAAGGACCATGTGTATTACTTAGGAACGCTGTGAGTTTCATTTTGCTTGCTGTTCAACACACTGAGATGAAAATGGAAATGTTTTATTAATTTATTTTCTGTCTTGCAGGTTTTCCTATTAAAAAAAACCAAACAAACCCAGAAGAAAACCAATCAAATCCTAAGTTTACACCAAACTCAGAAGCCTTCAGGGCTGATTCCCGTTGGCTCCTTAGAGCCTACTGTGAAACATTTGGGAATTTTGTGAATGAGTTGTTAAACTCTTGGTAGCTGGAAATCAACCATGGTGGGGGTATTTATACCCAGGAAATAGACAAATGCTACAAAGCAGGAGTTTTTTCCTTTTTTTTTTTTTTTTTATAAAAGAGCCAGTATGTCAGGATACCATGGTTGAAGTGATGGTTAAAAGATTAGTGTCCATGATGACCATGGAATGCCAGACCAGTCTGTTTCTCTTTGTTGTTCTTTTACAGCTATAACTTGACACTAGCTGGTAAAGTGGCCTTTTCATAAAACTTGCATGTGTAGGTCCCTAGGACTTATAATTGCCACAGCAAAAGTAAATACACTGCCAGTTAAATTCTGCCAAGGCCTTTATCTACTTATATTTACTTCTACTATATTTGGGTAAGAATCAAATGCATTGAACTAACCTTTAGGAAAGAAAGGTTGTAACTACTTTGCATGTAGGTAATTTCCAAATTCCCAAGGACCACCTCACAGTTATTGAACATCCTCTGGAGGCTGAGAAAGTGGTCTTCAAAAGTGCCCAACTGGGTGAGCTTGTTACTTGTCCCTTGGCAAACTGGAAACAAGAGGAAAACAGGTATCACATGAAATGCCAAGTAGAAGAGCAAAACTCTTCTAAAGTAAAGTAAGTTACTTTTTTAGTTACTCTTCTGAAGTAAAACGATATTCGCGATCTTCAACTAACTGGACACTTCAGTGACTTACGACATATTCTGATCGAAGGCCACTCGGGACAAATGTGACCAAAAATGTTTAAAAGTTTACATAAGGTGCAGTTCATAATAAGGACTAGTTCATCTCTATAATGCGTGCAATTGTTTAAAACTGTTAAAAGTTCAAGGGGCAATAGATGGGAATTCTGTGAAAATCTTTAAGATGAAACAGTCTATAAGAGCTTTAGTAAACAAAAAATATATCATAATATGCAACTCAGCATTACAATGATGAGTTAACAACTATAGAATGAACTTTTTACTTTGCAGAAAATTGCATGTCACATTATTGCGTGCTCAAAGAATATTTACAAACGTATTTTCTGACCATAACATTGTACACCCTAAAATCAATGACAAGAGTGTAAATTGAAACCCACTGGCTGGAGATGAAAGATATTCTAAACGAATGCACCAAAGAATGAAATCAAATATTATATAACATTTAGAAAATGACGACATGAAAACATATATTTAAAAAACACACTCAGCTACTAAGAAACCACACGCCTTTTGTTTGCCTACACTCCAAGGAGCCCACCCACCCAGGCGCAGGTACAAGGGTTTTGCATCCCCTGCCGGGATGTGGCCTTGGCACGTTTTCAGGATGTGGCCCTGACGTTTTCAGGTATCAAACTTAATACAGGAAAACATTTTAAATTAGGGGACAAAGTTAGACTATGAAAATACGTTTGGTAGTCTATCTTTAAAAGCAAAGGAGAGGATTATAATAAAGCCGTGTTTATGAACCTAGCTCTTTGAACAACATGTACAGGCAAGCAAAAGAAAACAAAGAGGTTCGGGCCTTTTGAAGCAGGGAGCTGTTAAGGGACTGTACTTTGAACCCAAATTATCGTAAGTGAAGAAATAGGGCCCCTGGCTTTGGAAGTTAGATTCAGACCAGGCCAGGCTCTTCCACGGATGCAACCTGCAACCAGGTGGTTGAGAACACCACCAAGGCCAGAGTCAACATGCAGGGACTCCCTTCAGCAACTCTCCTCAAGTCTTCATTCCTCTTTGATAGGTCCTTCGTCCCCTCCCCACAGAAGTGTTCCGAAGAGCATCACCGTCCGCTCTTGCATTTTAGTGCCACGGCAGCGAGCCCGTGTTCAGATACCACACGATCAATGCAAAGCATTTACACCAACAGTAAATATGAAGCAACCCTTACTTCCTCTTTAACTGTGTGGGGATTTCCCTCTTTTCCCCTTCTGTGGTCTCATTCAAATCTGGTGGTAGAGAGAACGTTCACACGGGAACTGCGATGGCCCACAAGACAGAGCCCCCCGGCAGTGGCCCCAGGGCACAGTGATTCCATCACTCTTCCAACCATAACACGGGATGGACCCAACACCCCTGGCTGCGTTCCCCCAGGAGTGTGGACCGCTCTGACGGGAACCTCAAGTTGGAACCGCTGTACGCAGTTGGCTGCAATGCACGTGGATGGGGCCAGACTGATTTCCCAATTCTAAGGACCTTAAAGATGCCACCACCAACGGAGGTACAGGGTTTTGACGATAAAGGGTGACCTTTCTGTCGGCACACCTTGGAACAAAAGCTGCCTTCCAGCTGACAGACCGTGGTCTCTAAATTTCAGCCTAACTGGTCAGCTCTGGTCTAGGGAGCCCCAAGTATCCATCATGCCCTTCACACCAGCCAGGTGACCAGTATTGACTAGAACTGGGTGTTGGAGCGCATTTCTGAAGCGTTTCTTCTGTACACAGAAGGATGAAAACAATCCCAGCTACTTTCATTTTAAAGGATCAGGGGTACTAGCTTGTAAATTTCTCTTCGCTGAACCAAAGAATTTTTATTATTAAATCACGCAAAAGTGACTTTCATCAGTAGAAAAGGAAAACATGCCATGTCAGTTTCGCCTGTTACAGAAGAAAATAATTGCAAGAAGACTGTAATTGTGTTGTCCTTCACTCATTCAAAAAGTGCTGAACGAGTATTTATTTGATGAATACCTACCATGACCCTTCACTGTTTACAATTAGTATGAATTACTTTTACATTCATAAAAGATCCTGTATCTGGAAGATAATAGCAACATTACACATTATGGATGGGAAGGTTAATTTGTAAAACATTTCTGAGAAGCAACTGGACAACCTGTGTAAACAAATAAATATGCTTAAATTCCATGTCATGATGTTCCACTTTGGAAAACCTATTTTGAGGAAATAGACCTACACTGTCAGGCAAGATGTTGATTTACGTTTTGATAATGGCAAAAAATTGTGCAACCGTCCAACATGTTTGTCCTTGAGAAAAAGCAGTTGACACCTATTTGATTCAGCGTAAGGCAAGTCCATCTTGAGTTCTGTTCTGGGGTTAATTACTAAAGTATCAAAAGAAAATTTTACAAGGCTGTTTCTTCTGAGGCCTCCCCTGTCATGTGCCCAGAAGGAGACAGCAAATCTAGGGTGAGGATGGGAATGGCCTGGCCTAGGTTTCTTGACTGAACAAAGTATAATCTTGGTTCCATCTTTATACCAAATATCTCGTTACGTAATATAAAGCAGTGAGAAAATTTCAATGTGAGAATACTGAATCAGTCATATTAAAAAGTAAAAATCACTAGCTAGTGAGGCAGATTTAAGACAAAACTGCAAGAGTGACAGCCCTTAGCTCAGCCAGGAGAAAGTTTCTTGGTCAGCCCTTCATCCCTATGCAACACTGAACGACTTCCCCGAGCTCTACGCCACGCTTTCCTCAAGTACTGACTTGGTGAAAACAATTCTGGCCTCCCAGAATGGTTCTGGGGATGGAATGAACACAAAAGCTTCAACTTTCTTTTGCTACAGCTAACTACTGGGAACTGTGACAGTTGTTTGACATGAGGTGCCTCTGGACAGACGTTGGGGGCCCCTGTGGACGTGTCCTTGTCCTAAGGTGCTGTCTGAACTGGGCATGTTTGAATCTGCCGATTGGCTTACTCAAATACTGGGCATTAAACAGAGTTACTTTATTCTTTGTCTGAAGAATATTTATCCAATCCTAAGAAGAAAGAAAAAGAAATACATTGTACTTTAAGAATTTCATTAAGATATGCATTTAGGCATATTTAAGCAATTGATTCAAATAGAAATTTAATATGACCTTAGGGCTATGAAGTTGAAAACCAGACAATTAAAAGTGTTTGTGTCAAGCTCCGTACAGCATACTAGGGATTTGCTCTCCCTCCTGCAAATGTGAAGACAAACCCTACTGAACCAAGAACAGTAGGGCCCTGCAAAGCACTTAGCTTTTCACCTTCACAGTTTATTACGACGATTCATAAACGGACAGAAGAGCTAAAAGAATTGTACCGTGAACATCCTTAAAGTAGCATTTTACTACGTTTACTTTATCACGTAGCTATCCATCTTATTTTTTTGATGCATTTTAAAGTAAGGTACAGATGTCGGTACCCTTCACCCTGACATGCCACCGGTTACGGTTCAACATGAGTGGCCAGCTGTTGTCGAGGTAATATCACCAACAGTGAGATAATCAGTCTTAAGTGTAGCATTGATGAGTTTCAACAAATGCATGCACCCGTGTAACCTGTTACCCCTGGAACATCACGGTTACCCTAGGAGCTCCCTCACAGCCCCGCCCCAACAATCCCTGCCCCAGACACCACACACCGTGATCTGTTTTCACTTAGAATAGTTCTGCCTGTTTGGGGACCTCGTTCTCCTGGAATCACGCTGCACCGTCCTTTGGTGTCAGGTCCCCTGCACAGCAGGCGTTTCTGAGATTCATCCTGGTGCCGGGCTTCACGTGGCTTCCAGGGAGTCTTACGGGAAGTTATCTGCGTATTACACTCGGACACTGAGAGCTGATCCAGAGTCAGGCTGTTCGTTTTCTCAAGAACCCCCCAAACTATCTTAACTGAAAATAAAACAATCTGCCTCCTTTAAGTCTTGAGATACCCCTGATGTGAGGGGGAGAGCCTGTGGCTTTCCTGTGTCAGTGTGGGAGTGGGCCCTTCTCTTTGCCCACAAGCCCGGGCAAATGTGTATGGCTGATTAAGACACAACACAAAAACAGGTTTCTCCAGATTTCTCCAAATCCACTTAGACGCTTGTGGAACTGCCTAAGTAAACTCATAATTGTTTTAATTTGTTTTCTCTACACTTCAACGGCAACCAAAGTCACTGGGCTGTTGCCAATCTATCCCCTTCTCCGAAGTTGTCTGTTTTTACTGTTACCCCGTTTTCCACAGAGCACCTCATTTTGAAGCAGAAATCACATTGCACTGCTCTTGGTTTGAACGATCCAGGTTTCCCAGTATCATCAGAACACGGGACGGGCCCCTGCCCGCGGCCTCCCCACATCCTCTCAGGCTCCCTCCCCCGTCCACCGGCCCAGCCACGTATGTTCTCCCCCGACACACCTCCCTGCCCCCATTTCTACCCGGCGCCAGGTTCCTGCTCCCTTCAGGTCTGTTCCATCTGCTTGGAATGCTCTTCCCTTTCTCCCCAGCTCTTTGCATCTTTGTCTCCCTTTTTATCACTGAGATTCCAACTCAATGGACATGACATCCCTTCAGAAAAGCCTGTCTGGAACCAGAATAGCTTAAGTCCCCACCATTGCATTCTATCACATTTTCCTGATTTTTCTTCTTAGCATTTATCACTACTTAAAATTAGTATTTGTTTATGCAAATACACACACAGAATGGGGAGAGGTGGAATATGTACAGATATATCTCGTTGGACTGACTGCTGGGATGTGAATACACATGTTGCATTTACATTTTAGACGTGGAAGCAATGGGTCAATGGTGGCCACGTGACCAAAGTCTTGGATGGCTTGACACGGGTCCCTCTACCTCTCCTGTTTCCGTGTG